CAGCCAACCCACAGAACCTAGAGAAATAACAAATCATTGTTGTTTTACACCCCTAGGTTTGAGGATGGCTCTTTTTTTTTAAAATTTTATTTATTTTTGGCTGCGTTGGGTCTTCATTGTTGCATGCAGGCTTTCTCTAGTTGCGGTGATCGGGGGCTTCTCTTGTTGCGGAGCACAGGCTATAGGCGCGCAGGCTCAGTAGTTGTGGCACGCGGGCTCAGTAGCTGTGGCTCCCAGGCTCTACAGTGCAGGCTAAGTAGTTGTGGCACACGGACTTAGTTGCTCCACGGCACGTGGGATCTTCCCGGACCACAGCTCGAACCCGTGTCCCCTGCATTAGCAGGCGGATTCTTTTTTTTTTTTTTGCAACACGCCAGCCTCTCACTGTTGTGGCCTCTCCCGTTGCGGAGCACAGGCTCCGGACGCGCAGGCTCAGCGGCCATGGCTCACGGGCCCAGCCGCTCCGCAGCATGTGGGATCTTCCCGGACTGGGGCACGAACCCACGTCCCCTGCATCGGCAGGCAGACTCTCAACCACTGTGCCGCCAGGGAAGTCCCCAGAATGGCTCTTTACACAGTAACAGATTACTGAAGCTGATAGCTCCGCTATGTGTGGGTATCTCCCTTTCCTGGGTCCATAAAAGAACTGGCTGTTGTTCTGCAAAAACATATGGAGTTGAAGGAGAATATACCCCACTAATAACAAATAACAGCACATCTTGCTGTTTCTATCTTTATGAATTTCCATACGTATAAAATAACTTTCATTTCAATTCCTAATCACAGCAAAATCCTTTCGAGGACATTTACACAGCAAGTAAGCTCACCATGTGCAGTGTCAGCCATGCACCTCCTCAACTGGAGAGACAGTAAAGTGAGCAGCTGTGGCCAAGTTCACCGTGACAACAGATGAACCTGCAGCACAACGGCCAAGATGCCATCGGCCTAAGATGTGCCCGTATTTCAGAGCCTCAAAGATGGGGAAAATGCTTGTCACAGAATCAGTGACACACAGCAGCTCTTGAACCCAGTCGCGCCACCTGCCCCTCGCTGGGAGCGTTACAGTGGCCTCAGGACGGCCTCTCCTCCGCTATTGCTATTCTGGCTCCATTTTCAGCCCGTACATTTTATTCCATCACTAGCAGTGATTCTCAAGTGCATATCTGTTCATTTCACTCCCTTGCTGAGGTCAGGATCCCTATGAATCCAAGTGTCTCACCTGCCCTTCCAGCCCTCATGACGGTCCCAGCCTGCCTTCCCAGACTGCCACCTGCATCCCACTTTCCCATCTCAGGTATTGTGGTTTTCCTGACTCTTTGCACAGTGCTGATGGAGAGACACAGGTGCGTCTGAAAGCTGGGCAGTTTAATAGCAGAGGGATTGCTGCCCTACTGGAATTAGGCAAGTGGGAGGGGTTGATGCCGGTGGAACCCAGGATGACGTGTGGGCTTGGGCTGAGCCAGGGAACAGATTCCATTTTCCCGGTGAGGACTGTTACAGTCACTGTGTCCTGTTCACTGGCACGTCTGCCTTTGCCACTTGCAGAAACTCACACTCAGCTCATCGCTGTATCTCCAGCACATGAAGGTTTCCTGGACCACCAGACACTTCAACGGATGCCTCCATTCAAGTCTGACAGTCTGCAGGTCAAAAGCTCTGTGTGTATTTGTGTTCAGTTCATAGAAGAGTCAGGAAAGAGTCTCTGCTTTATACTGTCAGTACATTTAAGAAAACACTTGCAGATTTAGACCATGTGATCCTGCAGTCCCACTCCTGGGCATATATACAGACAAAACTCTAATTCAAAAAGATACATGCACCCCAATGTTCACAGCAGCACTATTCACAATAGCCAAGACAAGGAAGCAAACTAAGTGTCCATTGATCAACAGGTGAATGGATAAAGAAGATGTGGTACATATATACAATGGAATACTACTCAGCCATAAAAAAGAATGAAATACTGCCATTTGCAGCAACACGGATGGACCTAGAGATTACCATACTAGGCAAAGTAAGTCAGAAAGAGAAAGACAAGTATCGTATGATATTATTTATATGTGGAATCTAAAAAATGACACAAATCAATGTATTTACAAAACAGAAATAGGCCCACAGACACAGAAAACAAACTTATGGTTACCAAAGAGGATAGTGAGTGGGCAGCGGAGATAAATTAGGGGTTTGGGATTAACATATACACACTGCTACATACATGATAGGTAAACAACAAGGACCTGCTCTGCAGCACAGGGAATTATACTCAATATCTTGTAATAACCTATAACGGAAAATCATCTGAAAAAGAATATACGTGTCCCCATATATGTGTAACTGAATCACTTTGCTGTGTACATGAAAGCAACACAACACTGTAAATCAACTATACTTTAATTTTAACAATGTTTTTAAAAACGACTTATTTTTTAAAAGAAAACTCAGCACTCGATCTTACAGAGAGCTGCCACTATGCCCACCTAACAGCCTTAGAATGGGAAGATGACCAAGGGTCCATGACAGCCCCTCACGTGCTACAGGGCAATGTCTCCCTCGAGGGGCAGTCCTGGGTTTCCAGGTTGATTTTTAAATTTCCTCCCCCCACTTTCCAAAAGGATATTGAGGTAGTTCATGCAGAAAACAGATGAAAGTCTAATAACTTAGATGTGGAAAATTGGGAACAAGTAAATAAAGGAACAAATATAATTGTCGTAATATAGTTGCCGTGACTAATCCTAAAATCCAGGCTTCTGCAGCCAAACAAAGGAGCCCGGCCTGTGGAGTAGTTTCCATTCTCAGCAATGCAGCCCACTCCTCAAATGGGGCAAGGATTCCTTCAGTACTCAGTTCTGAGATCCACATACCGTACAGACCTTGACATAAGGGACAACGGATACCGTAAAGCCCTTGACAGGTATCTGTACACCAACCTTTGTTAAGTCAATGCCTTCTGTTTTCTTCTAGGGCTTTCTGTTTTCTAGAAAAAAATGTGCTTGCTATGCCTGCTATATGCTCTTGTCACACTGACTTCATAGAAGAACTTCAGTGATAGATCTAACCTTTCTAAAATAACACATTTTTACACTGCAGTTTATGCCATGTTTGTGATCATTCTGTTAAAGGCTCCAAAGTATTAAACATCATCATCAAAAGCCATTGATTTTCCAGTGATCAATTTCCAGAAGAGAAAAGGGAATGCAGACAATATCGGAACAAACATGCTCACATTTTAGACCAATTTTAAACATATAATGAAAAGAAAATTACATCCCTACCTATAAGGAGCCAAAGTCAAAACAACAACACCATGAAATGAGGACATAACACAAGCAGGTAGCGATAAGCCCGCACTACAGGGTCGGCAGACGGATTCAATTACCTGTGTGCTCAGAGGCTTCCAAAACCATGAAAGTACGGGATTTCAAGCTTGTACTCTTCACGCTAAATAAGTCATCATTCAAACCTCGGTGCCCACACCATACATGAAAACACTGGGGAGGGCAGAAAAGAATAACTGCGGGACTAGAACCCTGTGTGTTCACGCAGGCGTCTTCCCTTCCAGGACTGTCTGCCCCCTTCTCTGAATCACACTTCACGACCTGCACCTTTTTGCTGAGCTCCACGTGTGGATCACTCCCCAGCCTACCAACCATCACCCTATGCACGTGACTTACTCATAGAAAGTTTGTGTCATGACCTAAGTCCACGTGTCTGTCCTCACCAGATGGAGCGCACCCCAAGGGCAGAATCATGTCTATCATTTTTCTCAGTGATTCTCATTCACTCATCCAACAAACACTTAACACTAAATGCAATCCTTAGAGAAAATCGAAAATAAATAAAATGATCACTAAGCTCGAGGAGCTACCAAAATAACAATAGAATCAATTCAGAAAAACCTTGACACCAGAAGCCAGACAACAAGAGAAAGAGGTATTCTAAGCTAGTCTCACTTATAAACAGACGTGCAAAAATTCCTAACAACATTTAGCAAAACTTATTCAGAAAAGTATTTTTTTTAGTAGTGAGGCTTTTTAGGTGCAGGCCGGCTGGGTAAGGATTGTGGCCTGAATTCGGTGTGAAGAGGGCCAGGTCAGCTGTGTTATCCCCTGCAGGGACTCTGAGCTCCTTCAGGGCAAGTGCAGACAGAGCGAGGGGCTGGGCTCCATGACTAGGCTTTCACCAGGCGAATGCAAGGTGGCCCCTAGGGGTAAGGAAGCCAAAGCTCCTTCCAGGAAGGTGATAAGTGGTGGGTAAGAAATCTGGGCTGCAACTGGAGGGAAGCAAACCCAAAGGCTGTTTGCCAGATATTGGAAAAGAATAGAGAGCGCCTGGAGAGCCTGGAGGCCGGTGACGGGCCTAGAAAGCCAGGAAGGACATGGTAGGCATTCAACAGCTTTGTTGGATGAATATTCACGCAGTAGAGCCGCTAAAGTACTGATTCTATAAGCTGGTTTGGGGTGTTTTCATCATGTAAACAGGTGATAAGGGCCCTTCGGAGCCGCCCAGGTCTGGTTTCTACCTGTCTTGCTCGGCCTGTGCTCTGTGCTGCAATGTCAGACTGTGCGTGCAGATGAACACAAGCACACCCCTCTGTACCTTCCTCCAGTTGCCAAGTCTGCCTGACATCTCCTCCCAGCTCCTGCCAGGCCTTTTGCTCCTACCACTGCCAGAAGACCTGTGTGTCTTTTTATCCCCACACTCACTGTGTTGCATCACTAACACCTGGGTGTGCCTCCCAGCCCTTGAGACTCTGAGCTCCAAGGATAGACCTGATGCCTTGTTCGGCTCATTCACAGGAGCAAGCCTGTGCTGAGAAGTTCGTTCTACAATGGCGGGGCCGGCCTGTCGTGTGTCCTTTTTTTTTTTTAATTAATTTTTATTGGAGTATGGTTGCTTTACAATGTTGTGTTAGCCTCCACTGCACAGCAAAATGAATCAGCCATACAAAAGACACCAGGGTCAACCACGGCTGTCATCAGCCCTTTTTAACAAGGACTCACTTTTTTCTTTCTTCGTGAATACTTCTCAATGTCGGAGTACTTTCTAAAAAACAAAAGAGAGTCAAGCTTGAAATGTGTGAAGCCCAGCCAAAAACATCTGAACAAAAATGTCGACTGCTGCGTCAGCCTCAGGAGGCACCGACCACGAGGAAGGCGCTTTCTGTCCCCAGAGGACACAAGCCCACATCAACAGCGGCTCCCAGGCTCAGGAGAAAGGGCCCCAAGGGAGTCTGTTCACTTCCCTTCCCTGAAATCTTTTTTTTATTATTATTTAGTATTTTAAAGTTTTATTTAAATGATGCAGGGAAGGGGCTAAGAGAGGTAGGTGATACACTGGCCTTGGGTGCAAAATTTAAGGGGACACCAAACAAGCCGGTCATCAAGATAAACACGACTTGAATGCAGCACTTGAAAAATCAAAATGCAAAAAGTAACGCACGATGAACGAAATATAAAAATTTTAAATGAAAGCAGGATGAGTATTATCGGTTTTTCCTTTTGCCTCAGGCTCCAGTGTAGCTGACACGTGCTTTTGCATTATGAAAACATTTCTCACAGATCAAACCCACAATAAGGTTTAAAAAGTGCGTTTCTTAAGAAAAAGAGAGGTAATCCGGTGTGTGTGACTGTGGTGTGCAAATGGCAAAGACTGTGACAATGGGAAGACGTTCAAGTGTAGGTGCTGGAGGGCAGGTCTGGGGCTAGTAGGTGTGGGGGGGTGAAGAGGACCCCAGCTGGCCCTTGAACACACCCCCCGATGCCTGGGAAGCCATGCTTGTGCCATGAGCGTCCACCCCTTTGGCCAGAGTGGACTGGTCCCCAAGGGCTCCCAGCTGGAGCCTCCTGGGTCCTGCCTCTTCCCTGAAACCCTTGAAAATCCAATGGCTCCTCACTTACGGGGGCGGGAGGCAGGCGGGCGTCTGACCTAAGGCCGTGCGTTTACAGGCACCTCTGCCCCAAAGCTTCTATATGATCTTGGGGCGGCGAGGAGGGGAACCCTAACATTTTTAAGCTTTTGACAGTGGATTAATCACATTTGCAAACACAGCCCTCACGATGACATGCAGAACAAACGTTACTGCTCCCCCTGGGCTGGTAAAGAACCCGGGCTCCCAACGTGAGGGTTTACTTAATGCCCCGCAGCTGATCAGCACACGGACTGAGACCAAAATCCGATCCAAAACCCAGTCCATCCTCTTTCTACCCCACCGCAGAGCTCTCGCTCTCCTTCTGTGCCTGACAACCATGCAGATCCACGTGCGGTTTCTGATTCTTCACCGACTCCAACCTCTGCCATGCACGTTTGCAGAGGTCTCCCCAACGTGCGTCTCCAGCAGCCCAGCACTTGCTTGGTCTACTCCCCGTGTGGTGACTGGACCTCAGCCTCTTACCGACTCTGCTCACCCCAAGCCCAACCTCTTTGGCGAGGGAGAAAGCTATTGACGTAACCAGCAGATTCAGGTCAGGGTTCAACACACGAACAGAAGATGGGAAGAAACAAAACACACTGGAAGGCAGAGGAACTCGTGCAGGGAGCAGCCGACACAGAGTAGAGAGAACCGTTCAACTCAGTCCGACAGCCCCACCATGTCTCCACCCGCCATGCTGTCAGGACCGTCAGCAACGGACTAAGGTGTCGACAAAGTCAGGAAATATCCACGCTCACCAGGCGCACGGGCAGGACTCTAACCTAAGCATCTGCCTGCATATCACACTGCTGGGGGGTCACCATCTGTCAACAGGACAAAGGGAGCCTTAAAGTAGAAAACCTAAGAGAACAAGAGCCAAAATAGGCATAAGGCCCCCCAGACACTGCTCCCCCGGTGGCGTCTCAAGTCTCCCAAACGCACCCCGAGCTCCTGCAGGGCACCTCGGGGTGGGGTGAAGGCCTACCACCTGCGAGGCTGAGGCCACCTGCCCGCCCCACAGCGAGATGAAAACTGACACCTCGTTCTCAGCACAGTGACCATAAGAGCACGACAGAGAAGCCCGACAGGGAGGGTTCCTGCAAGCCCTCAAATAGTCCCGACATTAGTGGGGTCAAACGCACCCCCGGGGACTAAGCAGCCAAGGGGCCAAAATCCCCCAGACTGGCTTGTCTCAGCAAGACCTGGAGACGGGGAGCGGTGCTTGGTGCCCGCCTTACAAACCGTACCGAAGGGAGACGCAAGAGGGAAGAGATATGGGAACATATGTATGTGTATAACTGATTCACCTTTTTATAAAGCAGAAACTAACACACCATTGTAAAGCAATTCTACTCCAATAAAGATGTAAAAAAAAAAAATAATTAATTAATTAAATAAAATTTAAAAATTAAAAAAAAGAAAACAGGAAAAAAGAAAAGAAAAAAAAAAACCATACCGACCGTCGTGTGAAGGAACTCTTGGGCTCGTGTGTACACGCCCCCGAGTGCCCGACACCCCGGCGCTGGAGAAGTGGGGATGGCCAGGTCCCGTGCAGCTCAAGGCCTGGCCCCTGGCAGAGTGCATCTGCTGACCGCCGGCCTATCCTCCCATGCCCCACGCCCGCCTTCCCGGCTGACCCAGAGGCAACAAGCCCAGCCACAGTCCTCATCCCGGGGTCTTCGTTTGGGACCCAAACTGAAGAGCTGGATCAGTGTGAACCGCAGACCTTGAGTCCGGCAGGTCAGCCTCCTTCCCAACCCTCCGCCAAGCCCGATCCAGCCCCGACACCTGGCGGCAGGCACTCGGGAGCTCATCTGCAGCTGTGGCCCCGAGAGCCCCAGACTCACAAAGAGGCGTCCGTGTCTGGCCAGCACATCAGGAAAGTGAGGAAGGGATTTGGACTCTACAGACCTACAGATATTTGGAGTTGGGAATACTGAGGTTTTTCATACAAACACACCCTGAAAAGCAGGGTGGGTGAGACACGGAAAACCACGAGGTGTCAAGTGTAAGTCTGCCCTGGGAATGGAACCAGACCACCTCATCTTGTGACCTCAAGGACCGGGAACCATGAGAAGGGCTCTCTGCACATACAGAGCCTGCTCTGTCCTGTGAGCATCAGGGCAGGACACAGGACGCAATTCCGAGTGCAAATGCTGGGCTCGTCTACCTCAGGGGAAAACCCCGGGCGTCCCCCAGGCCTGAGCCTACAGGACAGCACTGTGCCTTCACTACTGGTGCTCAGCTGCCCTATCCTAGATGCAAGCCGGAGACTGCGGGGACAATCGTCGCATTATCTCAGGGGAAGGGACAAGAGTCCCCACCGTCTCATCTTCCTCCCAGCCGTTCCTTCGCATCCACAGATGCACACACTGGGGGGTGCCCTGTTACGCAGGTCCAGGATCTACTACAAAAATCACTGCTTTGTTCACCAGGAGAGACTGCCAGCCTGCACACTCTGTTTTAGATAAGGAAAAGCAAGTAGAATTAAGAAAACGAAACTGTGCCAGATGGAGCGTGGGCTACCATGACCGTGGCCTGGGGCCAGCTCTCTATCCTGTACGTTTAGACTCTTGACCTCTGAGACCCCAGGAACTCCACAGAAAGACTCAATACAGGATCTCACTGTCCTTGTGGCTCTATCCAACAGCAGTGGTTCCTCCATGCCAAAGATTTTGAAAATTCCAAACTGCCTCATAGGGACTACCCTGGTGGTCCAGTGGTTAAGACTCCGTGCTTCCAATGCAGGGGGCACGGGTTCGATCCCTGGTCAGGGAGCTAAGATCCCACAGCCGCATGGCGCAGCCAAGAAAGTATTAAAAACAAACAAACAAAAAAAATGCATCATATATAAAATGATAATATCAAGTTTCACTACAGAAAAATAGCAGATACCTAAACTGACCATATTTGGGAGAGGAGCTGGGGGGAAAAGGCAAATTTTACTAAGCAGGAAGGGAAGAAATGAAATGTGCTCACTGTTAGACTTCACCAGGGACCTTTGGGGACTTCCAATAAGGGAAATACTTGAAGGCCTCCAGTCCTGCCCCAACGTAAAACTGGTTGTCTTGCAGATCCTTTGAGCTGTCCAGAAGATGCCCATTCATTGTAAATAATCTGTGAGTAAAGAAAGAAAAAATGAGCTAGAGACTTAAGAGCCATGACATCAGGCTGGGGGCACCCGGTACATAATGCGACTGGTATGTGGACCACAGGAGAGCTGATGCTCTGAGAGCAAACGTAACCAAAACGGGCTAACGGAGCCCTGCGGGAGCAGCTCTGCCAGGGTTACGCTCGCTTTCCATTTTTAGATTTTTTTAATTAAAGTGTATCTTTAATTATGTACAAGTATTCAGAGGGCCCTGAGAACATTTAAGCTGTTGGTTGGTATTCAATTAATTTTAACTAATAACAGTTAAAATTAATACAAATTGGCTTATATTGTTATAACAATACTTGGAAAACAACCCGGCATTTATTAGCAAATGATATGCCTTTTTGTAAGCACAAAAAGACTAATATTTGTCTATGTTTTATTCTGCACTCTTTTTTGGCATGTATTAATTCATAATTCATTTATTTAAGAAAATGTTCAATTCATTCAATGCTCAGCATCTGTTAGGCAGCATACAATGAGGTAGGCAGGCCTTCTGTAAAAAATATGAAATAAGAAAGCCACTGCTTCCCCAAAGTCAAAAAGTGTATAAAAGCCTATAAAGGCAAGTGTGACCAGAGAAGGGCAAAACCTCAGCGTTCTAAGAGGAGAAAGATTAAAGGCAACTGTAGGCTTCACTAAGGTGAAATGTACAAGGGTAGGTAGGAGTTCCTCATGTGAAGACGGGATGCAGCCTTTGGAGCAGCAGAAGGGGCCTCTGCAAAAAGCCAGAACACAGGGGATTGACTGTCACCGAAGGGTGAAATGCACCCTTGGGTGAAATGGAACTTGACCACTGAATCCCAGAGCCTGGAATTCTAGGGGGAGGAGCTTATCATCGATTTAGTCTGAGTGAGTGGGGATTTGCATGAAGTGTGGGGTAAGCACAGTGTTTCAGCAACAGGCAGCTGGCCATGGTGGGTGGGATGTGATGGAGGAAGGGCACCTCACCTGGGGGAGGAGATGCAGAGCTCTCGCAGGGCGTACGACGTGCTCACGAATGACAGCAGTGAGCACAGGAAGGGAGAGGAGAGAAGGATGCAGGGCACCTGGAACAGGTGGGACCCACAGGACTCAAACCTCCCTCCCCTGAGCACCCCTCAACCTCGGCGAGCAGCGAACCACCAGATGGCTGGCTGACACACAGCGCTGGGCCCCCCGCCCTGGAGTTTCTGATTCAGTGAGTCTAACGTGAGGCCTGAGCATCTGTTCCTAACAAGGGCAGCTCCTGGACCCGCTGCCTCGCGTCATCCTGTAGGACCAAGATGAAGAACTTCCAGACAGGGGGCAACTGTGAGATGCCCCAGGGAGTGGAACATAGGGCTTCCAGGTGAGAAGCAGGGCTTGGAACTTCCTTCCTCTCCTGTTGTCACCTTGGGACAATCGGTGCCCATCCCTGGAGGGCTCACAGCTGGCACGAGTGTCCCCAGGAGCAAGGCAGGGAGCTGCAGACACCCTCGGCAGTGAGGGGCCCAGGGAGGCGGCAGGACTAACTGGCTGTGGCCGCGAGGACAGCCTCCCCCCAGAGCTCAGGTGCTGGAGGCTGGACCACAAGGCGCTGGGGGTGGGGCCTTGGGAGACTCCATCAGAAGCAGAAGTGCTGGGACACATGGACCAGGCACTTAACATAAATGTGGAAAATGTTACAAAAGAAATAAGGGAAATATGAAATAAAGAAAGAAGCACACATTATTGTTTGGAAGATAAAATAGAGGAACTCTCCCAGGAAGCAGCAGGGAATGATAATAGAACATATCGAAGGTAAGAAATAAAAATGAGCAGAAGTGCCATCAACCAGATAATAAGAATCCCCAAAATAAGTTAAATTAGGAGTAGAAAGGAAGAAATACGGGTAGAAATAATGAAGATTCGTGTCACAGAATGAAAGACAGAGGGCAGACCTCCAACTGGAAGGGTCCACAGATGGTGAAAAAGCAGACAGAGGAGTTTAGGTTCACCAACACTGCCCAACCTGCGCCCGACAAACGCGGATTGAATCAAACATTGAGGGTGGAAATGGCTGTATCTCAGAGTCTCAGAACTTGGCAGGGACCACTCACCACCCTTCTCTTCCAGCAGGTAGAGAGCTCTGCCAGGTGCACAGAGCCCAGGGCTGCGGGACGTGGGAAATTCACCCTCTTTCCTCTTCAATTCCTCCCCGTGCTAACGACTCTCCTTTCCGGAACCACGTCTGGCCAGCCATCACCCATAACACTGCATTCCCCAACCAGGGCTGGACCAGGGTGAGGCGAGAGAAGCACCCGGGGTGCAGATCTGGGGGGTGCCCGCTTTCAGGGGTGCACCAGCATCTCCTCCCAAGCCCAGCACACCCCGACCTCTACTCATTTGCCGTTCTCAAGGCGAACCTCTTCTGGGCTATTCCTAGACTGGGCTCCACACCTGGGTGTGCTCCTCTCCTACACACCCTGCCCTCCACTGTGATTCTTTTTGGTTCTGCCTTCTCTGCGGGGCCACAAGCTCAACAGGGGTGAGCGGACCAGGCTGGGCCTCCCGCATACAGCGTGGTGCCCACCGTGCAATCAGCACGCAACACACGTCTGTGAAAAGCACATTTTTCTAACACCGAGATCAGCAATAATCTCTCACACAGAGACCCACACACAATCTTAATGGTTTCTCTGGAATATATATATATCCCAGAAAGTTCAAAACTATCCAATAAATCAACTAATTTTAATACCACTGAGAACTTGGCTAAGTCTCTAACACACACAAGAAAAAGGTACAGTAGAAACCTCCACTGAACCATATTAACATTATCTAAGGAATGATAAATACAGATAGATACAAACGACTTCTCAAACGTATGTTGACTATTAGCTGTTCGTTCTGTTCAAAGATAACATGTACGTTGATAATAAAAAAAAAAAAAAAAACCTGTAATGTGCCTATTACATCACCCTTTCAAGCTTACTATTGAATATTTGTACTTTCTAAGCATTTATTTCCAAGCTCTGTACTTTTTCTAAACTCAACCACAGAGAACTAATTTAAGCCCAGGGAAAAAAAGAAATAAGCTTATTGATCTAGTGTCCTATTTTCCCTCTAGATATCCTATTTCCTTGCTTGCTTCTCCCTTACAAAGATTTTACCTCTTCCTTTCACCACTATGTGATACTTGTGATTTTATACGTGATACTTATGATTAATCCCACTACTGTTTCTGGTTTCTTCCAAAAATATGCACAAGTCTATCTGCTCCAGACAACGGTCCCTATTTCTTTAAGGATAAAACACTAATACTTATAACTGCATCCTGAAGTCACTTGGGCACTTACAGGACTTTTTACTGTGTAAACAGCTGTCTTCCTGGAATACTGGTGTTCACTGTTATTCACCACCCTCACTAGGCTAGCGAGTATCCCATTGCTCTGAATGTCCCAACAGTTATGTCCTGCTCGCTAGTAGACACATCAGTTGTCACTGTTGGTATCACAACTCTTGACTGTCAATAGATCGTCTATGTTTTAATTCACCCCTGAGAAAGAGTTAATTGACACAAAAGTGAAAAGGGACTGAATGTTTTTGCTCTTCCTCCCCAATGCCAGCCACCGGGACCGTCACTGTCCATGAAGAGGACACTTCTAATGGTCCTTCGGCCTCACTCCACATCACCCGACTTCCCAGCTTTAAAGGTCTGTGTCCTCCTGAGCTTTCCCACCCACTCCCGTGGCGAGACCCGGGCCTTCTCATCACCCCGTGTGTTCCCAAGGCCAGGTCTTCTTTACCTCCCGCTACAGCCTGTAGCCGCGCCGCTCTCCACTCCCTCCCTCCCGCCCTCCTCCAACCGCCAGGCCGGGGTCTGAGACCACGGGGCCATCTCTAGAGTCACCTGCACACACCGAACCCCTCCTCTGCTGGTCCTTCCCACCCTCGGCCGTGGACGAGTCTAGCTATCTTCCCCTCCCTTGTCCCAGGCTGCCGAGCGTCGGAGGAAACCACAGCCCTGCAGCGTGTCCCACTGCAAATTCGGGGTCCAGGCCAGTGGGGCCCCCAACACTGCTCGGCCAGCGCAGCACACCACCTCCTCCATCCAAGGTCTCCATCCCCCCGTGACGGGCCCTGTCACCACTCGGACACCAGCTCCCCTGTGTGGCTCCCCGAATTCTCCTGCCCGAGAGGCCTCATTACATCACCTGAGCATCTAACTGAATGTTAATCACTGGCCACCCGGCAGGGGCACGGGGGACCCGGGGGATTGGAGCGACCACATCTCAGCCTCGTTAGCTGTATTCACCACGCCGAGGGTGAGGCAGATGCCCGCTAAACTTTGTTGAATGAGTGAATGAATGAATGAAACTGTTAAAAATAAGTATGGCCCAAAGACTGCAGAACTATTGTCTGCCTGAAGAATTAAAATCAGAGCTCACGAGGAATCATTTCAGACCCTGCTGGCCGGGCAGGAAATTCTCACTGAAAAGCACAGGACGAGCCCCTCCTTCCAGGTCCTCAGAGCTGAGCCAGAGCCTTACTTTCGAACGCCTCCCAGAGGAAAGACCTTCTCTCTGATCGTGGCCAGCACGCAGTTCCACTCCGTCAGGCTGAATTTGGGTATAATAATCTTTACAGGTGGGATAAATAATCTTCCATTTGTGAAAACACTGCAGGAACCAAAGGAAAAGCCTTCGTTAGGGCCTCACACTTTGGGGGAAAACGCTGGGAATTCACCAAAGATACCCAATTACAGAAGCATGGAAACCACACGGAGCCCTGAGCAGCCCCTGGTGGCCCACACGCCACCGCATGGAGGACAGTCCCCGAGCCCCGTAGTGCTCAGAGCCAGGGAGGGGCCAGAAACGCTGGCGACACAGCCTCATGGGATAGAAGACACCCCGATGAACAGGACTGAACTCTACTCTTTAAAAAATAGGCCTCCGTGACAACGGGGAACATGGAAGAAAACTGTGTCCATTTGGAAAACAAACGGGGAAATTTGGCGTTAAAAATGCAGCTGCTGTCCCCTCCGTGGCGCCGAGAGAGTGTCCTGGAGGAAATAACGTGCAAATCCTCTGCAAAGATAATGGAAACCGCTGGTCTCACTCTCCTAGTTTAAGGCAGCTTCCCTGTGGTCCCGGTGGGTTTGTTTTCTTATTTCTATGGGCTGGGGCTGGGGACACAGCTGGGGTCCGCACAAAACCCAGTGCAAAGCTACTAGCTCTCTGGTGTTATAGTCAAAGCCACTTAGCAACAGTTTCAAACTCTTATTAAAATATTGTAAAATATGAGGCTATTTCTTTAAGTCTAAAAGTTATGGATAGCATTTAACAATACAGGAGCTCAGCTTCACGGTGCTGACTTTCAATCTATTCCTTTGTTATTTATGATTACTGTTGTTGTTTTTCCTTAAATGTAAATAATTTAAAATTGGAGAAATACATCTCTTGTTTCAGAGTAAATATAAATTTTAAGTTAACACGTTTGTGCACAACAAAAAGAATCAGGTTTCTCAGCTAAGGCTCTGTGGAAAGAGGCTTGCCATCACCCCAGAGGCCACCTTTTTCCATACTTAAAGCCTCTGCCCCAAAACAAACCTCGAAAGGGGCATTCTGTGCAAGTCGTAGCACAGCTCATCTGTGATGTTACCGCTACCCTGAAGATTTGCTGCAAGCTTTCCACCTATCCGTGTTCCTAAATGGTGCACGCCAAAAGTCTCTCCAAACACAGACGGCTAATAATACAAGAAATAAATATTGAGACAAGGCCACGTTGTGTTTTTGTCTACATTTGTAAGATATTTAACACAGATTCTCACGCTGAGTGCGGGGAAATAAGCACACTGCTATGGACTGAATTGCGGTCCCCCGCAGATTTTGGCAGCCCTCGCAGGCTGATACACACACACATATACACTGTTGACGTGGGTAAAAGTGAGCACGATCTTCCTGAAGGGTGACTTGGGGACATAGACATGGAGACGCGTGGGACCAGGAATCACTGACACAGTCTGTCCACTCCCTGAAATCCATCGCATGGAAATGTGGGCACGTATATGTGAACCTTTAAAAACGTCTCTCGCAGGGTCACAGGCAAACCTCAGAGACATGGCGGGTTTGGCCCCTGACCACAGCAACAAAGCGAGTCACACAAAGTTTTTGGTTTCTCAGTGCATAGAGAAGTTACGTTTACACTACACTGTAGTCTATAAAAACAATGTACGTACGTTAATTTAGAATACTTTATTGCTAAAAAAAAAATGTTTACTATCATCTGACAACAGAGGGCGGCCACAAACCTTCAATCTGTAAAAGAAAAAAAGCATTATCTGCGAAACACAAGAAAGCAGAGTGCAATAAAACAATGTAGAAAGTATGCCTGTATTTACAAAAACCAAAATATAAAACAACCTAAATGTCCAAGTGCAGAGGAGTGGTGAAATAAATCATAGCACAGGATACAATAATAACTAATGCAGCCATTTAAAATTGTTTATGCAGAATTTGTATTTAGGGGGAACATGATCAAATACAATTAATGCTGTAAAAAACCACAACAGCAAGTACAGAGAGAACTAAAAGTAAGCGGCCCTCAAAGTTAACAGTGGCTGTGTCTGAGAAGGATAACGAGTGATTTTTATTTTATTCTTGACACATTTCTAGACGTCCACCTTTTTATACTAAGCATGTAAATACGGAGAAAAGGATTTTTTAAATTGTTAACGATAAAGAAAGAAATGTTAACAATAAAGAAATTAGGAAATTTCAACTTTAGAGGGAGTGATGGACTCAGCACATCCCCAGAAGTTTTCCGGTTGAGCTGCAGAATGAACTAGACCCTTCTCACTCTGCCAGATTTTAGGTCTGTGCTGTCTGAGCATCAGACAGCCCGTCTTCCACCTGACGATCCAGGTAGATGGATGACCAACCCCAAGAAATACACCCAAAGACTGTTCCCCTAGAAAGTCTGTGACAGAGAGGTAATGGACAGGCACAGCCCCTGGACACACAGTGAAAACCCATCATTGTTAATTATGTACAGACCCGTTTTGTAATACTAGGCAGCCATTTTTAAAAGCACAACGTATCTATATGCGCTAGTAAGAAACCATATTAAATTGTGTGGTGAAAGAAAAAGGAAGATACACAGCAACGCTTGCAGCATACCTACGCCTCTAAATCCTTGAATATGCAAAGCCTGTCTTACAAGGACACTCCAGAAACTTTTAACAGTCGCCTCTGGGAATATAAAGATTTACTTTTAATGTGTACCTTTTAAAACGATATATTTACCATGGGTGTAAGTTACTCTGGCCATAAAAAATAGTTAATTTTTAAAAATTACTTTGAAATAAGAGAGGTTAAAGGCATAAAACAACTTTGCCAATACACCTCCCAATGTGCCCATTAATTTTTAATAGGTAATATTTAAAATATTTTAAGTAAGACATACTTTAAATTTTTTAAATAAGGAATGTTTTGAATTTTTCAAAGTAGGAAACAGCACTTGGATCTAGGAATGGATTTTGCCAGGTGACGCGGTGACGCTGGTGGTAGTGGCAGTGGACGCCACTTACCGTAGCACACAGTTTAGTTAATGACAGACCAGGACACAGACCTGAGCCTCCGCCTCCAGGCTGGCGGCTTCTCCTGAACATGGACTCGACCAGCTGAATTCTGAGGACACGCAGACAGTCAGGGGGAACAGCTTCCCTCTCCACCATCCAGCTGCTACAGAACTCACACTCAGCAGCCCCCCACTCCCTCTACCCCAGCTCCCGGCTTACCAGGAAGGGTCAAAACACCTTTCACCTCGAACATCAAAAACTCTGAAAGCCATCGTAACTATTGTCTGTTTGTTTTTAAGTTACAAGGTCTCCAAGCAAACATGATCAGGTCTTCCCTTGGGAGAAAAGGCCTTGCATTTGGACGGATATTTGGGTCCATCTAGTGGAGTTTCTAGCACACCATATAAAGAATAGAGCACATGCCTTAAGAATAACTGTATTATCACAGAAAAAAAAAAAGTCTGTCAAAATAAGTGAGAACCATTGACAGTGTGGGTCAGGCTCCCCCCAAAAAATGTATGTCTAGTGATACGTGTCTTTGCCAGAAATGACCCATAAGCCAATAATGTTCCCTGAGATTCCTATCCATTCTTCAGAAAGAGATGTCCTTCATAAAATTTAGAAATACTGTGTCTCTCATTATTTCAGAACAGCTCTCAGATCTATAAAAGGCACAGTGGAAGGATCTCAGATGTGTGAGTGGCTCCCTTTCAGAGGCCTAAGGAAAAGTATTTTAAAGAAATGATGGTTGGGTTTTGGAAGGTAAATGAAAGGAACAGCTTAGCTAATAAGCAGGTCATGCTTGCTCCATCCTTGGGCTTCCCAGCCGGGGGCTCCACTGTGTCTGGCAGGGGCTTCCCAGCCCCCTGGGCCCCCAGCCCTTTGCTGGTCAGCAGGGGCGTGAAGGATGACTCGTCGGAATGTGGGCTCTCTGCTACCCAAGACTGGGACTGGCCTGCTGATGCCTCCCCTCAGACATAGAGCCAGGACCCTGGAAACTCACTGAAATTCCTTCTGCTGGGAACAGAACCGGGTAAGAGCGAAGGTGTCCTCTGGAACTTCAAGTCAGGGATTTTCATCCCTATAATATCAAAACGGCACAATATATGAAGGATTGGGAGGAAATGGCTGCCATTTGGAGAATTCCTGCCCCTTAACGAGCACTGGGCGGGGTTTCCTGGGACTTTGCTGGTGCACGTCACCACCCTGTTTACAAAAGAGGATGCCAATTCAGAGAGAGGAAGCGTGTGCAGGTCACAAAGCCTACAAGGTGAAAAGCGGGATTTGAACCAATGTTTGACCTGAGTCAAGTGTGTTCTCTTTCTACAGCCCCAAGCATAACGTGGGCCGGCCCACAGAGGGGTCCCGATTAACCGGAACAGAGTCCCCCGGCATCTCTACACCTGCCCCACCAGCCGCTTCCCGGGGCAGCCAGCCCTCAGGCAACCTTGGCCAGGGCGCGTTGAGCATCAGACAGCCCATCTCCCCCGCCGAGGGGCTTTGGTGGGAACATTACTTCTACATTCCCTTTCACCATCCAGCAGCTGCGATGGCTATAGGCCACCAAAAATTTTAAAAAAAGCTAAGACTAAGCCGTGCACTTCCACCCCACGTGAACTGGCCGCCGCGGCAGGGCAACGGCATTGCTTCTCCAAAATCAAGGTTCACGAGAGAAGAACATGCAGCTGAACCATACCGAAGACTCCCGGGGGGAAGGGTGAGCGTCAGAGAGAGAAGGGAGGGGACGAGCAGAAGCGGGGCGAAGGCGACACAACATCTTTAAGGAGCTCGACCCCCCTGCACCCCACTGTACTCACTTGATTTGTCGGGATAAACGATGGAATGTTTGCCACCTGGGAGGCACGTTTATGTCACAATGTACCAAAGGCTTGATCTGAAAAAAAGAAAAAAGAAGCCTCAGAATTCAGTTCAAGCTAACAAACGCTTGTTAAATACCAACAGTAGGCACAGCATTCGACCCCAAACCAAAGGTAAAGGTGGGGCAGCCTCGCTAAGAGACCGCAGGGCAGGACCCGGGAGGGGCCCGGGCAGCGCTGGGCCCCGTGCCGGGCGGTGGCCAGGAGTCCAGCCAGGCGATGTGGGCGGCTGCGCTGAAGGGCTGTGCGATCCAGGGGATGGCAAGGTCCCCGCTGAAGGTGCCCAGCAAGGGGCTGTGTGGTTCCCGCTGAGGATGCTCCCACAGCAGCTCACCCCACAGCCTGGGTGAGCTCCGCTGGGGCCCTGAGACGGGACAGGGGCTTCTAATTAAGGCCACGGGGTTCAAGCCAGGATGTCCTGGCAGGTGAGAACGCCTTCCCAGCGTGTCCTGACCCTTCTCTTCTCTTTTCTGTGAATCCAACCTGAGGGGCTGAGCCAGCTCTGGGGCCCCATTCAACTTCGGCCTCACGCCCACCGGGGCCCAGACACCCAGGCAGGAAAGAGTCCCTGAGACCTGCCCCCCGCCAGCCCCGGGCCCCCTCCTCACGTCAGGCTGGCCTGCCCCCGGCCCCTGGCCCGGAAGGGAGGGCCCCGCGGCAGAGGGTTTCCGCCCAGGCCTCCCACCCGCCCGTCTCCCTGCACATCCCTGACCCGCCAGGCCCGGGTCACATACAGACAGGCCAGCCAACCTCTAATGTTGGCGCAGTGCCACTGAATTATCCCAAGTTGAGTAAAGTCACCTACAGCAGTTCCTTTCCCGAGAATAACACCCAAGCAGCATCCTCGGGGTTCACCACGAGAGCAGGGGCAAGCTGAGCAGCCCACCATCAGAGCAGGCTGACGTGGGCAGCTCACGCTTTCCCAGCGCTGTGTTTTGTTTTGTTTTTTTTTGCGGTACGTGGACCTCTCACTGCTGTGGCCTCTCCCATCGCGGAGCACAGGCTCCGGACGCGCAGGCCCAGCGGCCATGGCTCACGGGCCCAGCCGCTCCGCGGCATGTGGGATCTTCCCGGACCGGGGCACGAACCCGTGTCCCCCGCATCGGCAGGCGGACTTCCAACCACTGCGCCACCAGCGCTGTGTTTTAAATGAGGAGCTGGGAGCCGTGTTACCTTGTCTTCTGAAGGGGATGACACGGGTGAGAAGGGAAGACGGAGGTGCTGTGGAGAAGCCTGCCCCGGCATCTCGCTGTAAGCATGGAGTGCCTCAGTCACGGAGGGAGCAGAACAAATCTGGGGGGCAGCCTGGGGGAGGAGAAACCACAGCCTCTGGGATAGGACAGACCAGGGTTCAAACTCCAGCCCAACCCCTTACTACCTGTGTGACTTTGGAGAAGCATTTCACCTTTGAGCTACAATTTATTAATTTGGGAACGGGGATGATATACCTTGCAGGGTTTTTATGAGATAACATTTTATAAAAGGCACAATGCCATACCTATTATCACATACGATAAATACACAGTCTAGTAAATATGAGTGTCTCCCAACACACACAGACACATAGAATCCGGGCCGGGGGGCAGGGGAGGGAGAGAGAGACCATTTCGGCATCTCAGTTGGATTACAGCCCAGAGAGGATTGCTGATTTTACCCACAGCCAACTGCTCGTCCCCAGACGCCCCATCTCAGAACATGGCACTACCCTAGACACACTTGTTCAACTACCAAGCCTGGGAGACACCAGTGGGTCCTCTCTTCCCTGATACCCACAACTAAGCCATCAGCCCATCTCTCAGTTCTACCTCAAAACTGCATCCTGGGCCACCCTGTTCCTGCCACTCCGCTGGCCAAGCCTCCCCATCCCTCCCCTAACTCATCTCCGCACCCCCATAGCCCTTTCTTCACAGCAAGCTGAGGAGCCTTTGTAAACACAAACCAGGACGCCATCACTCTCTGACTTAAAGCCCCAGTGGTGGAAAGACCCACACTTCCAGTAGGTCCCCACTCCTCAGCTAGCCCACGCAGCCATGTGGCTGACACCCCTGCCTCTCTGCCCTCGTCCCTCCCACAGCACCTCCCATGCCTGCTTTCTTCCAGCTCTTTAAGCACCAAGCTTGTTGCCACAAGCACAAGACCTTGACCCCGGAATGTTCTCCCACATCTTTGCACGGCTTGCTCCCTCTTGCATTAAGAAGTCAACATGGATGCCAGCTCCTCAGAGAGGACTTCCCTGATGATCACGCACCTTGATGTATGTTCACCACAGCACTTGATATTGCCTAATATTTGTGTGTTTATTTACTTGCTTATTATTGATTCCTCCTTGTAGAGCGTAAGCCTCCTGAAAGCAGGGACTTTGTTTGTCATGTTCAACAAAGTACTCCCCGTGCCTGAACAATGGGCGGCCCATGGCAGGAGTTTGATAAGTATTTCATGAATATGAATGAAGAATGAACAAATGAATGACAAGGGAGAAACAGCTCTGATACTCTGGAAAGAATCCCAGAAAAAGTGAGTTCACTGAGGATTGTGGCAATGCACACCTACATCCATTGTTACCCTACTGTCATACTATATATAAAATTATATATACTTGCGTACTAATAGTGACAAAATCAATGCCATGAATATCAACGACTACCGTGAATTTGCAGACCTAGTTTGAAAACAAAACAACAGAAATTATCCTCTGCAAAATTCTATTAAGGCACAGCCACCCTAAGAAGCCGTTTCCTCCTTGATTGCATGAATTTATGGAAACAATGAACTAATTGCTTTCTTACATGTTAATGATTCATTAACCCTGATATCACCTGCCTAATTAAATGACCCCAGCAATTAAATGCATATATGCTTCTGGGCTTTTCCCCCTGCACTCCACACAATAATCTCCAAAGAAGTACCAAGCAAACGTGCTTTGCTGTTACTGTCTGATGGTGATGACAGTTTCAAGACTCGTGTCATTCACCTGCCCTGAGAGGCGGGACGTAACGGGCTTTAGAGCTCTTTAACAAGGGTCCAGGGTAATTGAACCAAATCTGCCTCAGTGATGGAAGACACTCAAGGCTGCCAAAGGTGTGTTTCCCCAAGTAGCACCTATGGTTTACTGAATGCCTGCAATGTGTCAGGCACTGCACTCAGACCTTTATATGCATTCATACCTAATCCTCAAAATCACTAGGCAAAATATCCAGGTAACAAAGAATCAGAGACGTTATATAATCTTCCCAAGAACACACAGCTATCAAGCGTCCTGGCCATGATAAGCCATCAAAACATATTTTATTATAGTTTTTAGCAAAACGGAGAGTTGAACCTACACCAGTACACCATTTAGGAGCCTATTTTGAGTCATCCACGATTCCAGGACTGGCTCCGTCACTTTCTCACTGTGTCACCTTGGTCAAGTTGTCTCGCTTCCCTAAACCTGTTTCTCCGTGCATGCAACACAGATCCAAGTGGTGTATATGTAGTAAGTCAGACAGAGAAAGACAAATATTACATGATGTTACTTATCTGTGGAATCTCAAAAAGAAATATACGAATGAGTCTATACGCAGCACAGAAACAGACTCACAGACATAGAAAACAAACTACGGTTACCAAAGGGGAAAGCAGGGGGAGGATAAATTAGGAGTTTGGGATTAACAGGTACAAACTACCATACGTAGGACAGATAAGCAGCAAGGATTTACTGTATAATACAGGGAACAATATTCAATATCTTGTAATAACTTATAATGGAAAACGATCTGAAGAAAATATGTATAACTAAATCACTTTTCTGTACACCTGAAACTAACACAATATTGTAAACCAACTACACTTCAATAAAAAATACAAATGTAACATAAAATTTGGCTAAAGGAAAAAGGTAAAACAAACAAAGAAAAAAAGTAGTGCCTATGCTATAGGTTTGCTCGCGACGTAACGCAAAGTGAGAGGACTCGCTCTCCAGTGCTCAGCAAGGTGCCTGCAGTGAATTAAGAGCTCAGCTGACAGCAGTGGTTGTTATTTGTGCCGTTGCTCCTTCTGCCCCATCATCCTTCTCCGACAGCCCTCCGTGAACATCCTCACGGCCTTTTCCACGCAAAACATCAAATAAAAAAGGCCCATAGCTGATTCATGTGCCCCGCTCCGTGGAGAATGGATGTCAGCTCCCTGCTGACGATGGATCTATAGGTCGGAACTGATGCTCTGAATGACTCCAAATTTGCTGACCCCCCAGAGGAACCATCCCACAGCAACAGACAGCCACGCGACTTATGGAGCCTACTGGCCGTCCCAGGAAGTCCCTACTCCGAAGCAGGGTCACAAATAAAAGCAATCCAAGGAGAGGAGAGTGCCTGCCCCAAATTCTGCCCGGCTGCAGACTCCCGGAAGGCACACGGCCATCGTCCCATCCATTTATTTAAGCCCTGTTTGCGGAGGACACCCCTCCATGGGAGGAACTGTGCTAAGTGTTGGAGACGCAAAGGTGAGCGAGACCGTCATCACAGCTGGCCTCGGAGGGCTGGGAGGCACGGGGACACAGACCACTGGACGAGCGATCTGTAAACAAGGAGACACGCACACGCAGCTGTGTGATGAGGGCTCCCTGGCGGCCAGCATGGGGCGCATTCCATCCTCACAGCGACACAAAGCAGGCTTCCTGGTGGAAGCGGCCTCTAGGTTGAGACCTGATTTATAAGCAGGAGTCAGTCCGTTGAGGGTGGGAAGAAATGCTAAATGAGGCAGGAGAAACAGCATACACAAAATCCTGTTAGAGGACTTTGGATACATCCTCGTGGATACAAGGTCTTTGGGAAATGGAAAAGTCTAGACTAGACACTGGACACAGAGGGAGGAGTGGTGAGAGGCGGGTCTGAAGAAGAAAGCCAGGGCCAGATCAAGGAGGGCCTTCACATCTGCCGTTAGCAGTGTAGACTCCATCCGCTTGGAGAAAAGAGGCATGCCTTGAAGTGTTTGAACCAGGGAACTGATGGGATCCAACTGGAAAGGGATGGGCTGGATA